CTGATGCACTGCAACACCCGCTGACTGCCATTAAACAGCTTGGAAGATCAAAGACAATTTTTTTTTATATAACTCCGATTGGATTTGTCTGAAAAAAGAAAGTCATATACACCTAGGATGCCTTGAGGGTGAGTAATTCAAGGGCTAATTTTTGGGTGAACTAACCCTTTAACACCAGGTACCACCAATGCAAGATCCTCAACCTGCAGGTCGACAGTAGATGTAGAATGTGTGGAGTAACTGAGGAAACAGTCAGTCATATAATTTCCGGTTGCTCCACACTTGCTTGCAAGCTATATCCATTAGACAATTTGCAAAGAACTTGGTGTTGAAGTGCCTGACAAGTGGTATGAGAATGTCCCACAACCAGTTGTATACACCGACGAATGTACCATCATGTGGGACAAGGGTGTGTTTACTGACTAGACCATCAGTGCAAACCGCCCGGACATCATTGTCCATAACAAGAAGGACAAGATGTGTTTGCTCATTGACGTCACGATACCAGTAGACCACAATGTAGTGGAGAAAGAGAACGACAAGCTCAAGTACAAGAGCCTGGGAATTGACATCAGCAGATCCTGGAACACGAGAACACAGATAGTGCCAGTAGTAATAGGAGCCCTGGGATGCATTAAGAAAGGTTTCCACCGATATCTGGATCAGATCCCTATGTGTTTGCTCATTGACGTCACGATACCAGTAGACCACAATGTAGTGGAGAAAGAGAACGACAAGCTCAAGTACAAGAGCCTGGGAATTGACATCAGCAGATCCTGGAACACGAGAACACAGATAGTGCCAGTAGTAATAGGAGCCCTGGGATGCATTAAGAAAGGTTTCCACCGATATCTGGATCAGATCCCTGGGAAGCCAAGTGCCTTTGAAGCTCAGAAGATTGGGCTTTGTGGGACCACTCACATCCTACGAAAAGTACTCTCTTAGAGAGGAACTCCCAAGGACTCTGGTTGAGTCCCGGATGATAACCGAGAGAATCTCAAGATGTAAAAATAAAATTATAATAATAATAATTATTATTATTGTCTTTGATATATAATCACAATAAATGCTGGCCAAATTTTTAAATAAAAATTTGAATTTAGGACAGCCATAAATATTAGTATTGTTGTACTGTAAAATAAAATGTATGTTATATTATTTTTATTTTACAGCAAAATACTACAATAGTGATATTTCTTTTTGTTGAATATTTTTTATAATAATAATAATAATTGTTATATTTAAAATAGTAATGATAGTAATAAATATTATTAGGGCTGGGCGATCTAAAATCAAAACCTTGATTAATTGAATACATTACCTCGATTACGTTTATTGAACGATTTTTTTTTTTTTTGCCCTCCTAGTTCATTAAAGGTTTGCACTGTAAATATACTCAACTAGTAAAGGTGGAATATTTTTTTCTAATGAAAAAGTGCATTTCTTATCTTTGTGATTTTAAAATAATTTAAGAAAATAAACTATTTATAGTTATCTGTTGAATATTTTGAACAATTGAAATCAAAGCACTGCTTGAAATGAAGATGTCTTATGAAAAAAAATCACATTTCAGTTTTATTGTAAAAAGCAAGTTTCCTAAAAAGAAAAGAAAATAACTTTCATTTTTTGCAAAAAAAAAAAAAGAATATTGCCATGTCAAAAGTAGAAAATAACCAGCATCTCTTGCAAACAAAATACATTTTAAATAATGCAATGTGAAAAGTAGAAAATAATAACTTGCATCTCCTGTAAACAAATGTTTTAAATAATGAATGTAAATAAAACTGCTGATTAAGAGAAAGAGCAGGGCAGCATCTCAGTGATCTTGTCCTGTCACGCTATATGCGCAAGTATAGCACACATCTTTGTGTCTAAAACTGCGAGATGCAGTGCTCAGGAATGTTTTTTTTAAAAGCACAGCGCAGAATCTCCACTCCGCCAGGTTGCTGTCAAATACAAAAGTTGCCATGCTAACCTGCTACTGTAAACAAAAGCTCACAATGCTTGCCCCACCTCCGAGGTCTTCTGATTGGTCCACTGTTTTGGAACTGACTTTGATGAGCGGCGCTGCGTGTAAAAGTTTAAATTATTACGCACCACTCACGTACAAGACGCAGCAAAACACGCGAGTGTATAGTGCTGACCACTACACGCGGTAGTATGTTTTTAAGGGGAAAGTATTAACAGGATTTAAAAAACAAAATAACCGACATGAGAAAATTATGTTGGTTAGAAGTTCTTAATTTCTGTTTCGATTTATTTTCGATTAATCGTCCAGCCCTAATTATTATTTTTGGTATTGTAGTCTTATTAATGTATAAACAAAAATGTTGGCCAAATTTTGCTGTTATAATTTTTCTCATGAAAATTTTAGTTTGATTGAAATATTTCATTGGATATAAATTGCAAATATGTGACCCTGGACCACAAAACCAGCCATAAGGGTCAATTTTTTTAAATTGAGATTTATACATCTGAAAGCTGAATAAAGAAGCTTTCCATTGATGTATGGTTTGTTATGATAGGACAATATTTGGCCGAGATGCAACAAAAAATCTAAATACTGAGAAAATCGCCTTTTAAAGTTGTCCAAATTAAGTTCTTAGCAATGCATATTACTAATCAAAAATTAAGTTTTGTTATATTTACAGTAGAACATTTTCAGAATACCTTGAATAACATGATCTTTACTTAATATCCTGATGATTTTTGGCATGAAAGAAAAATCGATAATTGTGACCCATACAATGTATTGCTGGCTATTGCTACAAATATACCCCAGCGACTTAAGACAAGTTTTGTGCTCCAGGGTCACATTTGTTTTCTGGTCGAGCAGGTGAAAATGGTGCATTTGATCAGGCGTAACATCACACGTCTCCTTAATGACACTCATTTGAGGAGCTCTGCTGGATGACACAAACTGAACTAATACTTATTGCTAGAGGCTTGTTCACATCACTAACACCAAACCACGAGCAGCAGTAATAGTGACTTTTGGATTAGAAAGCCCACACATACACCAGGGAGGAGATGAATGTTAGCCCAGAGCGGCCTGCTGTTTAATCAGGTGAATTATGGCCTGTGTGCACACAAAGAAACTCTTTTAAGGGCAAACTGAAGGAGGTGTGGTTCCGCCTACATCTGGCCTTTTACGATAAGACACAGAGTGCACAGAAAGCCCAGAAGTGCCTATGTTTAGACTCTATTAGGTCATCTTACACGTATGGGGAAGGTAATAGTAGTACCTAACGCATGAGGATTTCCGTATATCAAATCTACTGCGGTGGACTTTAACTTATGGACCGGATTGGACACATTAGCTTCGATGTGTCTTTTGTTGTACCAATGTATACGTGTCCACAAACGGCCTCCAGAATCTAAACGCACAAATTAGCTTGACCTTTCCTGAGTGACATTTACGTCTTGGTCACATTTGGCTAGTCATTGTTCTTTTTGACATGGCAGGGTCTGTTTCTTTTGTCTGTTATTTTTCTTGTTTTTTTTGTAGCACAATTCATTCCTTACAAAGAATCTTGACACTAACCTCAGGAGAAGTTTTGGGAGAGACTAGGGCTGGACGATTTCGAGGGAATTTTTTTTTCTTTTTCCTGATTAAAACAATTTAATATGCGATTATGGAAATCCCAGGTTTTCTGTGCTTGTTTGTAGGGCTGCACAATTAGGCCAGAATTATGGGACTATTTCAATATGGCTATAAAATAATAATAATAATAATAATACTCGGCTCATTTTTATTTATTTTTCAGTGAAATATTACATTATTGTTATTATTATTATTTTATGAATGTATTTCATGCATTTTATTCATATTATATTTTCATACATGGTAATATTGCTTATTTTGTTTGTAAATAATTTTTGTTTTTAATTAGAAGTAATATTATTTAATAATAATAATGATAATAATAAATATTATTATTGTAAAACTTTACAATAAGGTTTCATTTGTTAACATTAATGTATTAATATATTTTTACAAAATTATTAACCTTTATTAATATTAGTTAATAAAATTGTTCACATACATGTTAGTTCACAGTACATTAACTAATGTTAACGGATACGACTTTTAATTTTAGTACAGTATTATCTCTCGGAATGCATCAGAAATATCTTGATTTGTGTTCCGAAGATGAACGAAGGTCTTGCGGGTTTGGAATGATATGAGGGCGAGTGAGTAATTAATGACAGGATTTTAATTTTTGGGTGAACTATCCCTTTAAAGCTTTTTTTTGTTGTTGTTTTTACGCTCTTTTCATTACATATTTGGGAAAATGGTTGTGTTTTCAAATGCATGTTAAAGCGACCAAGTGAAAATGAGCTGCTCACATGTAAATGAACACAGCTCTTCACACTAAAACATACAGCACATATTTTTATTTAATTCAATTGCAGCCTTTGTGATTTGATAATTGCACTAAGCCAAATTACGATTTCAAGTTTATTTTGATTATTTCGTGCAGCCCTAGAAGAGATGCATTCTTCTTGGTAAAAACATGTGGAACATGTGGCGAAACAATTGTGTGTGTGTGTGTGTGTGTGTGTTTCTGTAAGCAGGGTCAGTTTGGCGTTCAGGAAGAGGATTTACTGAAGAGTCTCACGTGCACCACATCAGTGACGCGAGGAGAGGCCATCCAGCGACTCCACAACCAGCAGCAGGCTGAAGGTGCGGCACAGTTTCACATCGAAGTCACTAGTGCGTCTGACACCCTTCATATCGATCACGGTGTGTTTTATATGTTCATTCAGACGCCAGAGACTCCATCGCTAAAGTGGCCTATGGTCGTGTGTTCGGATGGATCGTCAGTAAAATCAACGAACTGCTCGCTCCTAAAGTAGACTGTGACGTAGAGCTCAATGAAATCGGTAAGTAATGCTGTGACTGAAAAATTTGTCTCCTTTTATCTGAAATAAGGCTGAAATAAAATAAAACACAAATATTAGATGAAAAACTTTAAAGTGCTAAAATGACTCAAACTAAAATAAAAATAAATAATATAAAAAAATAATAAAAATGACAAAAGCGCATAACAAAATTGCTAAAACTTTAAGTAAAATTAAAATGAAAACTGAAAATATAAAAAATGAAATCTAATTCAAAATATTATTAAAAACTATAATAGTATATAAATGTGACCCTGGAGCACAAAAGCAGTAAGTCAAGTCGCTGGGGGATATTTAATTGTATTGTATTAAATCAGTTATCACATTTACAAACTCCCTTAAAAATCATTCAAAGCTGTCACTCATCATCTTAGTTCATCGCGAGCTCACATTTATAATCAACGAAGCTCTCTACACTGTGTGATGAATCTCTTATTTACACCCTGTCTACACTTTGCTTATGAAGGATTGGTGAGATATGTCTGTGATACATTACTCGACGCTGCAAAAACACGTAGAAAGCTTTGAAGCTTCACTGAGCGCAATCACAAGTATGATGATGATCGGGTCAGTCGCACTGGTGCTCCTAAAATAAATTTCATAGTCGCACGCAGTAGTTTTCAGTCGCAAATGCGACTGAAATGGTCGCACTGTCGAGCCCTGGTAGGGCTGCACAATTAGGCCAGAATTATGGGACTATTTCAATATGGCTATAAAATAATAATAATAATAATAATACTCGGCTCATTTTTATTTATTTTTCAGTGAAATATTACATTATTGTTATTATTATTATTTTATGAATGTATTTCATGCATTTTATTCATATTATATTTTCATACATGGTAATATTGCTTATTTTGTTTGTAAATAATTTTTGTTTTTAATTAGAAGTAATATTATTTAATAATAATAATGATAATAATAAATATTATTATTGTAAAACTTTACAATAAGGTTTCATTTGTTAACATTAATGTATTAATATATTTTTACAAAATTATTAACCTTTATTAATATTAGTTAATAAAATTGTTCACATACATGTTAGTTCACAGTACATTAACTAATGTTAACGGATACGACTTTTAATTTTAGTACAGTATTATCTCTCGGAATGCATCAGAAATATCTTGATTTGTGTTCCGAAGATGAACGAAGGTCTTGCGGGTTTGGAATGATATGAGGGCGAGTGAGTAATTAATGACAGGATTTTAATTTTTGGGTGAACTATCCCTTTAAAGCTTTTTTTTGTTGTTGTTTTTACGCTCTTTTCATTACATATTTGGGAAAATGGTTGTGTTTTCAAATGCATGTTAAAGCGACCAAGTGAAAATGAGCTGCTCACATGTAAATGAACACAGCTCTTCACACTAAAACATACAGCACATATTTTTATTTAATTCAATTGCAGCCTTTGTGATTTGATAATTGCACTAAGCCAAATTACGATTTCAAGTTTATTTTGATTATTTCGTGCAGCCCTAGAAGAGATGCATTCTTCTTGGTAAAAACATGTGGAACATGTGGCGAAACAAATGTGTGTGTGTGTGTGTGTGTGTGTTTCTGTAAGCAGGGTCAGTTTGGCGTTCAGGAAGAGGATTTACTGAAGAGTCTCACGTGCACCACATCAGTGACGCGAGGAGAGGCCATCCAGCGACTCCACAACCAGCAGCAGGCTGAAGGTGCGGCACAGTTTCACATCGAAGTCACTAGTGCGTCTGACACCCTTCATATCGATCACGGTGTGTTTTATATGTTCATTCAGACGCCAGAGACTCCATCGCTAAAGTGGCCTATGGTCGTGTGTTCGGATGGATCGTCAGTAAAATCAACGAACTGCTCGCTCCTAAAGTAGACTGTGACGTAGAGCTCAATGAAATCGGTAAGTAATGCTGTGACTGAAAAATTTGTCTCCTTTTATCTGAAATAAGGCTGAAATAAAATAAAACACAAATATTAGATGAAAAACTTTAAAGTGCTAAAATGACTCAAACTAAAATAAAAATAAATAATATAAAAAAATAATAAAAATGACAAAAGCGCATAACAAAATTGCTAAAACTTTAAGTAAAATTAAAATGAAAACTGAAAATATAAAAAATGAAATCTAATTCAAAATATTATTAAAAACTATAATAGTATATAAATGTGACCCTGGAGCACAAAAGCAGTAAGTCAAGTCGCTGGGGGATATTTGTAGCAATAGCCAAAAATACATTGTATGGGTCAAAATTATAGATTTTTCTCTTATGCCAAAAATCATTAGGATATTAAATAAAGATCATGTTCCATGAAGATATTTTGTACATTTCCTACCGTAAATATATCAAAACTTAATTTTTGATTAGTAATATGAATTGCTAAGGACTTCATTTGGACAACTTTAAAAATTATTTTCTCAATATTTAGATTTTTTTGCACCCTCAGATTCCAGATTTTCAAATAGTTGTATCTCGGCCAAATATTGCCCTATCATAACAAACCATACATCAATGGAAATCTTATTATTTTCAGATTTCATGTGATGTATAAATCTCAATTTTGACTAATTTACCCTTATGACTGGTTTTAATGGTCCAGGGTCACAAAAATAATAATAAAATAACACTGGCTTAACAGTACAGTTTTTTCAATGGCTGACATACTGCAAATTATTATAAATAATTAATCTAAATTACGATTTTTTTTTTCATCCGTTTCATCTTTTCATCTTCATCCGTTGATAAGTCTGTCGTTAGATTTTAGAACTGACAAATAACGTTTAAAATAATAATCTCATAATGGTGAAATATTTGCAGATTTATCAACCTATCACAAGTGAATACCTCCAGTTTTCCACCATGAGCGATCCCTTAACCTTGACAATACAAAATAACACTTTACCCAATGTTTAGTGCCGATATTACAGTTTTCCTGCATTTTTTCCCATTTATCAGACTGAATGTAACTAACCTGTAACTGCTGAATACTTTCTGGCTGATTGTTAAATGCCATCTTTGTCAGCTGGATCATTGCATTTTTATTTTTCCATCCATTTTATTTTATTTTATTTTACTTTACTCCTGAGTAAATGGTAGATAATTAACTCTGTGCAGCACTGTTCTTGCAATGACAATAGCCTTAGCTGCTATTAAAATCTTAACTAACATCCATTTCTCTGAAACTGGATAGAAAATTCTTCCTATTTTGTACAATTATTATTTACTTTCTATTTTCACAGGAATCCTTGACATCTTTGGTTTTGAAAACTTTACTGTGAACCGATTTGAGCAGCTCTGCATTAATCTGGCTAACGAACAGCTCCAGTATTTCTTCAACCATGTAAGTCCTTCATAGTGCTTCGTTATGAGTTTGGTATTTGTATAGAAAAACATACAAAGTTTGATTCAAGTCTCCGTTTTAACTGTCGTAAAAAGGCCAACAAATAAATTGCATCAGTGGTAATCCTCCATGGGGCTGCATTAAAAATATTAGGCTTTTTTGGATATATTGCATGTTTGTACACCTAAAAGTTTAATAATTTAAATCTATTAAAATTGTAAATATTACAATCTCTTTAAAATGATATTTAAAAATACTTATTTTTAATAAAAAAATTATATTTATAATTTATATAATTGCCTTAGCAAATTTAAACTGTCCAGAATGTCCTGCCTAGTTTTTTTTTTCTCTTTGCAAAATGAATCTATTAAATATATGAATCTATCGTGAAAAGGAGAATCAAACAACGACGAGCACAGACTGCTGAGCATCTGAAGTCTTTTATCAAGAGAGATTGGGCAATAATTTTGCTTGCAAAACTTTAATAATTAGTATCCTCACTTCCCAAATGATTAAACATTGTAATTAAAAGGACAGTTGATGTGACGGTGTTAAACATGCATCTGTCCCAACTTTTTGGGAGTGTGTTGCAGCCATCAAAATAAAATGTGTTTATTTTTACAAAGTGAAATCTTTTCTTTGTACTTTTGTCAGTTAAATAAGAGCTAAAGAGAATGAACAAATCACAGATTCTTGATTTCATTGCTTTTTACAGAACGTCCCAACTTTTTCCTTTTTGGGGTTGTAAAAAGAATCGGTCATTTAACTTTATTTCAAATAAAGTCTTGAAGAAAACCCAAGGCAGCAGATGTTAGGAACCATTAAATGCCACATTCGATCACAGTCACAGGCAGTTATTTCAACAGGACATTATTTGCCACTCAATGAATGTAATAATCACATTTTCCATGTCGTTTCCCTCCAGCACATTTTTCTGATGGAACAGAAAGAATATAAAGAGGAAGGCATCACATGGGAGACCATAAGCTTCAAGGACAACAAACCCATACTGGTACGTCAAAACCGTTTTCACCCTCTGTGATTATTGTGCACTTTTTCCAACTCTTTTTTCCCCCCCCCATTTTCGTTCCCTCTGACTCCAAAAATAACCCCGAGCTCTGCGTTTGGCAGACGGCCGTGTGGTAAATCCCAAACACAGGAAGTGCTGACAAAGCAAGACGCGTAGCTTTGAGAATCTCTCAAATTTCTGCATGTTTTCTGACCTAAATCCTTCGGCGCGCTGCTGAATGGGAAGCTTAAAGAAACCTGAAGCTTGTTTTCATTCTCACGTGAGATTCCTGCTCTGTAAATGCAAGCTCTGCCCTGTAATTATGGGTATTCAGCAGCTGCCTGTTTGGAAAGGTGCATGTGACGTTCATATAACATTCAGCTTCGTATCCTGTAGTGTAACATGGATCTGAGGCCTGTTTAGCTTGTCAGCATGGAAAACTCTTTCACCCATGCCAGGTTTGTTCCTCTGTTTCAGGACCTGTTCCTCACCAAACCCATCGGGATTCTCTCACTGCTGGATGAGCAGAGTGCCTTCCCTCAGGTACACTGGTTGCTTGCTAAACCCTGAGACACAATAGAAAACATGGTGCCAAGTCCTCCATAGGGCCAAAATTACATTTATTTGTACAAATGCAAACAACAATTTTTTTTTGTCTTACAGCATTTACGTTTATGCATTTAACTGATGATTTTTTTTTAGTGCATTTAACTGATATTTATACACCGAAACATTTTATAATTTAATATATCAATTTTCTTTAAGTATTGCAACTCTTTAAAATTTTATTTAAAATACATGACATTTCTTATTGATATTTTGTATTTATTATTTACATAATTGTTATGCCTCATAAAAAAACCCTGCTTTTACAATAATACGTTTATTTTACAAACGGATGGATGTGATCATCTCCATTGGGCTGCATTAAAAATACTGTGTTTTTGTTATATTGGACATATTTGTACACCTCAAAAACTGTAATAATTTAAATTAAGTTGTTTTTTTGTTTTTTTTAAGTATTGCAGTCTCTTTAAAATTATATTTTAAAATACTTATTATTATTTATAATTAAATTTATATAATTGCTTTTGCAAAATTAAACCCTCCAGCATGTATTACTGTAAATGCAGTAATTTTTTTACTGCACTTTTTTTTTTTTTTTCTCTCTCTTTTTTTCTTTTTGCATTTTACAAACTGAAGGACAAAAAAACATTATTTTCTGTGGTAATCCTCCATATTTGTACACTTGAAAAAAATGTAATAATTTAAATGATATATATTTTTAAGTATTGCAGTCGCTTTAAATTTATATTTCATTTTTATTTATAATTTACCTTTTTATAATTTGCATTTTTATTTATAGCTTCTCATTTTAAATGCAGCATTTATTGCAGCTTTAAATGCTGCGTCTTGTTTTTGTAACTGAAAGATGAAAATGCATTCTGTGATGATCAACAGCTCACGTAAAGCTCAACTTGTATTGAACCAGGAACAATTATATTTTAACAGCCATTGAATTAAAGCTAAGCAACAGTTTCAGAGTCTCAGAGTCAATACTCTCTGTCTGTTCTGTGGAGTTACGGTGGAGTTAACATTAAACGTGGACTATGTAACGTTTGTTTACAGTCATGTGACTGCATTTGTTGTGAGAGAGTAGTGAATCTCAAATACGCTAAATCAGTATTTATAACAAACAGCATGTGATAATCATTTCTGCACCCACAGGCCACTGACCGAGATTTTGTTGACAAGTTAAACAGCAAATTTAAAACGGCTCCAAACTTTGAGGTTGTGCGAAACCACACCCCTCTATTCACTATTGTGCACTACGCTGGGAAGGTGAGTGTACAGAAGCATCGTCATCACTGTTACCTCACAATTCACCTGATCACTGACTTCATTTAGATCAACAGTGGAATTGTTGTGCTGGTTAATAATTAAATGATTATGCATTTTTCCCAGAGGGGACTCATTAATAAGGGTGTTTTTTTCTTCATAATGTGTGCATTATTCCTGCATGAAGTGTCTTTGTGATCTGTTCAGGTGCAGTACAATGCAAGTGGATTTCTTGAGAAAAACAGAGACACGATACCAGCCAACATTCGTGAGCTGTTCATCAACAGCGTCACTCCTCTCCTCAGCGTTCTGTTCGCAGGTCTTTAAATGTTTTTTATGGTATTTGTTATTTTGTATGTTATTTTTAAAATGAATGTTGTATTATATTGCATTATTTTTAATTTGTTACAATGTTTTTCCCAAAGTATTTGTTCTTAATAATAATTATAATTATTATTATAGCTGATTTTTTATTAATTTTTTTTTTTAAATAAAATAAAATCATATAAATAAGTGAAGATACTTAAACTTCAGCTAACAAACAAAAGCATTTGATTGTAGTTTCCCCTTGATCATTTATTCATTATTATTGTTATATAATGCTTTTTAATGCTTTATGCTTTTTTTTCCTTTTTTTTTCAGCCACAATTTCCCGAACAGGCACACTAATGCCACGAAAAGCCAAGGTGCTGTATATATAAGATTTAAATTTTTTATTGACATACCAGTTAACTTTATGAGTGTCTGTTAAAGCACATGTTGTGATATTTCCCAGATACCTTGATAGGCTGGTGTTTGAACATATTTATAGCTGTATAAATGACAAATTACTCTCTTAACCTTGAGATCAGTGATAATTAATCCACATGATCCTGTGTGCATTTTAATTTTAGTTACAAGTTGCAGATGACAACTTTAACTCAACCAGGAAGCAGTCCGTCGGCGCACAATTCAAGGTAAATCTTTGCTTCTAAAAAATCATAGTTATGTTTTTTGTTTTGGTTTATTTAATGCATCCTATAATTAAAGGAATCAATGCATCTAAATATGCGCATCTTAAATATGTACATCTATTAATTTCTATTTTGCATGTATCAGAAATATTAAATTGATTAATCTCACAAAAACTGTCAAGAACATATCCAGGTCATATTTCTGTGGAAGCTTGTTTCCGCCACAGGATAAATAACAAGAATAAAGGTAATTGTGACCACTTTTCTCACAATTCTGTCTTTTTGTTTTTCTATAAACTGCAAGATATACATTTAGAATTGCAAAATATAAGCTCAGAATTCCGAGATATAAACTCAGAATTGTGAGATATAATTTAGATATAAATAAGATATTATTTTAGAATCGCAAAGTATAAACTCAGAATTCAAAGATTTAAACTCAGAATTCCGAGACATAAACTCTGAGATAGAATTCCAAGATATAAATTAGATATAAATTTAGAATTCCGAGATATAAACGTACATTTCTGAGATATAAACTCAGAATTGTGAGATTATAATTTAAATATAAATAAGATATACATTTAGAATTGCAAAGTATAAACTCAGAATTCCGAGATAAAAACAGAGAATCATGAGATATAAACCAGCAATTCTGAGGAGAAAAGTCAGAATCCTGAGATATACACTTGCAGTTCTGGGTTTATATCTCACAATTCTAATTATAATTTCCAGAATTGTGAGATAAAATTACCTTTATTTAATAATTACCTGTATTTGTTTATTCTGTGGTGGAAACCGGTTTCCCTGTCTTTCACCTCATAATGAAGATAAATTATATTTTCAGAAAGTGAAGTCTATTTCTTGGATCATTTAAGATCTTTTGCATTGTGATTGTCATGATGATGAAGCACTGACATTCCCTCGTGTGTTTGACCCTGTCTGCCTTTATTTAACAGCCTAAATGTCTGTGTGTTGTTTTCCGTGCAGCATTCTCTGGCTGTCCTCATGGAGAAGATGTTTGCGGCCGGTCCGCACTTTGTTCGGTGCATCAAACCCAACCGAAGCAAGCAGCCAGATCAGCTGGACAGTAAACTAGTGATGGATCAGGTGGGTTCAGCATCTGTAGTGAAGCTCTGCTGCGTTCGGCCCTTTTTGGGCCTCTTTTATTTTCCACAGCAGAGCCAAATGCGTTCTCAGATTTTCCTGCCCTCCGGTGGAGTCTGAGCTCTGTGAGCTGTACTTAAGCCTGCAAGCCTTTTAATGCTGTTACGTTGGAGCTCAATCCAAATCCCTCTAATGATACAGGAGCCGCTGGGTTTGTGTTTAAGTGCCAATATGGACTAAACACTATATTAAGTGATTATCTTGTTGGAGCAGCTAGATCTATAACGCATTGTAGATTTTATCTTTTGTTTTGTTTTTTTCTTCTTCATGTAAAACTTGCCACCACTAAATTATAGGGTGCTTCTTATTGGGTGCTAAAGTGTTCTGGATGGATGGATGTTCTTGAAAAACATCTGTTCTCTGTAAGATGTGTCCATCCTGCTCAAATGACCGTATTGACTCTGTCTGTGCATGTATGTTTACAGACAAACAGCTATTAAGTCACATGGTCAGATGATGTACAGCCATGGAATGTAGCGTTTCATTCAGTACATAAGCAGTGCTGTTAAAAACTACAAGACTGTGCAACACTGACACTTCTTGGAAATTTGTGGAAATGCACTTTGCAGCCTATAAGAATTATTGTTTAAAGTGGTCCTATTATGCATTTTCACTTTTTCAACTTTAGTTGGTCTGTAATGTTGCTGTTTGAGCATAAAAAAGATCTGCAAAGTTACAAAGTTCAAAGTCCACTTCAAAAGGAGATATTTTATTTAACAGAAATCACTTTTCAAAAACTACAACGAACGACTCGTTTGGACTGCAATGCATATTTTCCGGGATTTGTGATATCACAAATATCGACGAATGGGACGAGACCTGGTTGAGCTGCACTAGAGAAGGCAACGAGTGTTATCACTATGTCGGAGACACGCTAGCTTTCCCAAGGCAGATGAACTTAGAGTGGTTACAATCATCCGGGTTTAAATCGCGCTCAAATTGATTTGATTTTGATGCAATATTTACACTGAAGCTCACAGGCGACTATGGTTAGGGGCATGACATTTCCCGACCAGGCGCAACACACACTGACCCAGCTAACCAATCACGGCACACACTGGCCCAGCTAACCAATCACAGCACATTTCGTATTTCAGAAGACGGGCCTTCATTTGATACAGGAACTATTCGAGCCGTTCATGCCAGACTGGGGAGAGAGGTGTTGTAATAATGCACCCAGCTAACCAATCACGGCACATTTCATATTTATTTGATACAGGAACTATTTGAGCCGTTCATGCCAGACTGAGGAGAGAGGTGTAATAATGTAAAATATGTGAAAAATAATGTGTTTTTCGAACAACCTAGTATGAGAGCCTGTTCTAGTACACCCCCAAAACAAAATCAAGACTTTGTAAAAGAGCATAATAGGACCCCTTTAAAATATTAACTTTATTGACAATGAAGAGCTCAAAATGAAAATGAATAGTTTTCCTTTCAAATAGAAAAAACAACAACTCTTTGTTAATTTTAATTTTTATGATATAGCTCACAAGTTGGATAAACTGCTTTTATGATACATTTGCTATTTTTGATACAATAATATTGTTGGCTATTTTTGAAGCTTGGCAGTAAAAATCATCCACTTTGGTTTGCAAAATGAAGATTTCTTTGTGTTTCATGGAAGATGTTTGTACAGTATGAGAGTGAATAAATACTGACAGAACAGTTTAGTTTTTGTGTAGTCTCCCTTTAAAAGTGACCTAATGGCACCTTTCATAATCTCCGTTGTCCAGTCCATCATATTCGTGTTCTGATTGTCTGTTTCCATTCTCTGTAGCTGAGATACAACGGCCTGATGGAAACCATCCGAATCCGGCGGGACGGTTTCTCGTGGCGTCCGGCGTTCAAGGAGTTTGCCGAGAGGTTCGTGTGCAGGCAGGAAAACTGACATTTTCTGAGTTCATTGCGTCAGATTCCCTGCGGCGTGACTCACATTTCTGTCCTGTAGGTACAACATTCTGCTGCTGAAACCGGATCTCCCGCTGGACAAAAGCAGGTGTGAACAACACATACATCAGAGCGGTGTTAAAGTAATGTGCACCAAAAAATGCAGGAAAAAAAGTTCCCATAACAATGTACTTTTGTTAATAATAATGTGCTGTTATAAAAGATAATAATAGCACATTTGACAACTGTTTAAAAGTTCACTCACATGAGGGGAATAAGCTCCCTATTATTTGGTTTCATTAAAATGCATAGTTTTTTTAATTGTTGTTTTCAGTTGCGTGTCGATCCTGAACAGCACTGAACTCTCTGGTTGGAAGTGCGGGTAAGTTTGAGCATGTTGCAACCTGTTTAAGTCATAAAGTAAATCAAATTATATTCATTATTAGTGGTATTTGAGGCATGCATAACCACTCACATTTTTATTCCTGTCATTTTTAAGTCCTGTCAGGATAAATTAAATATAAAATTCATCAAAATGTAATAAATAATAATAAAATATAATACATAAATTAACTATTTAATAGTTTATTAATATAATTTATTAACATACTGGTAAAAAAAAAAAAGTAACCTGAATGCACTGTAAGTCGCTTTGGATAAAAGCGTCTGCTAAATGCATAAATGTAAATGTAATATATAGTACATATATAAATACATAGAGTGTGTGTATGTGTATAAAGCAGTTATTAGTTTGTGTGTAATATATATGTTAATATATGTGATGAATAACATTTAACATCTTAAAAATATTTATAATTTAAAAGTATTAAAAAATGTAAATTAAAAATTAATTTCGCAAAATTCAAATAAAAATAAAGTATTAAAATATAATAACAATATAATATAACACAATATAATAAATAAATATACATAACTATTTTATAGTTTATTAAATGATTTAAATCATTTATGTGTGTGTGTGTGTGTAAAAAAATTTACATTATGTAAATGTATTATTATTTTATTTATTAAATAATCTATGCATTGCATAATACATTACATTTTTAAATATTTAATACATTTATTAAATAATTATTGTAATATTTAAATATGTATTAAATACACATTTACTACTACAATGACAATGAGCTTGAAATGAAAAGAAAGATTTATCTTCTGAAATGGAAAAAAAAATCCATAATTACCTACTTGCCCTCCTGATGTTACAAATCAAAATGCTACATTCATATTCATAAAATGTTAAAGTCTAGATTTCGTAAGTCCTGTCAAGGTGTTCAGGTTTTTTATGTTGTCACAGGATCTAACATGTATTCATTTCTTTAATTTGGCTTGAACATCTGGTGATAAAATAATATGAACCGATACATTAGGTACTGTAATGGCTCTCATAATATTGATGCATCGAGCAAGTCACAGCAGTTCTCTTGTGCTGCTCTTTCAGATCGTGCCGGTTGTTTTTTAAGTACTGGCACCAGGAGGAGTTGGCCCGTCTGCTGGAGAGACTGGGACGAGCGGCGCTTGTCATTCAGAAGAGTGAGGAGCAATTAAACTCGTTTGTTTATCCCTCAATAAGAGTATATTAAATTCAGCTCTTGGCTCAAAGTTTGACTGTTTTATAGCAGCCTGAATCACCCCTCAGAAACACACTCATAAAAACACTCACCAGAGCAAGTTCAGACGTGAACTTACCTGGATATGTGGCTTATGTAAATAATGGCACAGAATGAATGGGAGGATATTACAAAAGGTCTTCTGCCATATATATTATTTAGTTTATGTTGTTCACTCGTAATGTCAAGGTTTGTTTCATCAAAGGTCATTATGGATGTTTTCAATCCTTCTGACCCATAGTTAGAGTTATGAAGGCTGTTTTTGTGACTGTACCTTTAAGACTTTTGTATGTAAATGACCTGTTATGATTCAGTAACCCCTTCATAGTGGCGTAGTTCGCATTATTGTTTGTAATCAGGACGAATCAAGTCACAGAGTACTGAATTTGTGTATAAACATACATTATTTATATAAGCCTCCCATATTTATTTAATAATGCATTTTTTATCAGAAGCACAGTAAAAACCGTAATATTGTGGAATATTTTTACAATAAAAAAAAATACTTCAGTAATTAAAATGTACATTTCAGTTTCACAAAATTAAAAAAGTTAAATAAAAGTAAATATAAATTTAATTAAAATGTAGTAGTAATAATAATAATATAATAAATATACATAAATTAACTATCTTATAATTTATTAAATTATTGTAAAAGTGCGTGTGTATTAAATAGAAATATTACATATATTTAGATTTTATGTAAGTTATTATTTATTTTTTATATTATGTATACATGTATTTATTATTTGTATTTTAATTTGATTTTTATCATATTTTATCATTATTTATTAAGTTTTATATGCATTGCATAATACATTACATCTTTAAATATTTAATACATTTATTAAATAAATAATGGAACATTTAAATATCTATTAAATACACAAATTTAAAATAACTGTTTTCTATTGTAATATATTTTAAAATGTCATTTATTCCTAGGATCAAATATGAGTTTTCAGGTTGTGCTGCTTCCTATTTTGGTGGAAACCATGATACATTTTTTCCAGATTTTTTTAATGAATATAAAGTTCAAAATAACAGCATTTATTTAAAATGGAAATCTTCTGTAACATTATAAATGTCCCTTTAATGTGTCCCTGAGGAATAAAAGAAGAAATTGTATTTTAAATTAAATTTTTTAAAAAGATGCACAACTGATTTCAACATTGATAATAATCAGAAATGTTTCTCAAGCAGCAAATCAGCATATTAGAATGATTTCTGAAGGATCATGTGACACTGAAGACTGGAGTAATGATGCTGAAAATACAGCTGCGCATCACAGCAATAAATTACATTTTACAATATATTCACATAGAGAACAGTCCTAATAAATGGTAAAAATATTTCAGTATTTTTCTGTTTTTACTGTATTTTTGGTCAAGTAAATGCAGCCTTGGTGAGCAGAAGTGATTTGAAAACAATTCATAATTTTTCTAAATCTTTTGACTTTTGACTTGTATTTTCACATTTGTCTCTGTATGATTCAATGCCTCAGAATGAAAAGAATTCAGGCTTAAAGGGTTAGTTCACCCAAAAATGAAAATTAGCCCATAAATTACTCCCCCTCAAGTCATCCTAGGTGTATATGACTTTCTTCTTTCAGACGAATCCAGACGGAGTTATATAAAAAATTGTCTTTGATCTTTCAAGCTGTTTAACGGCTGTCAGTGGGTGTTGCATGCATCAGTCCAAAATAAGTTATATAAAAAGCACCCATCCTTAATAAAAAAGTGTCTCACACGGCTCCGGGGGGCGAACAAAGGCCTTCTGTAGCGAATCGATGCGTTTTTGTAAGAAAAATAACCATATTTAAAATGTAATAATCACTTTAATGTAGCTTGCGCTCACTGTTGTAAATGGAAGCAGTTCCGGGGGAATGACGTATGAGGTCAGCTTTGCGCATGCGCCGGTCAGACGTGACGAACGCAGAAGCGCAGCGGAGAGATCAAAACACCAGTCACTAATTAGAAGTACAAATTGAGGATTTGTAAAGAAGAATGTCGGAGGATTTCGATATAAGCCAAGAGGAGACTGGTTTTCCTTTGCTAAAGTAAGGAAACTTTGTTCCTGTAAACAAACGTTGGTTTTCACGAGACTCACCGGCGCATGCGCAGCGCTGAACTCATACGTCATCCGCGTCGTCCGGCATTAAAGTGATTATTACGTTTTGAATATGGATATTTTCTTACAAAAACGCATCGATTCACTACAGAAGTCCTTTGTTCACCCCCCGGAGCCGTGTGAGACACTTTTGTTTTATGGATGGGCGCTTTTTATTTAACTTCTTTTGGACTCAAGCATGCAACACTCACTGAGTGCCATAAAACAGCTTGAAATTTTTTCAGACTGAATTCGTCTGAAAGAAGAAAGTCATATACACCTAGGATGACTTGAGGGTGAGTGATTTATGGGCTAATTTTAATTTTTGGGTGAACTAACCCTTTAAGTGTATTACTGTAAACCTGATTTATGCTTGTTTTAGATGAGTTTGTTTTGTGTCGTTCGAGTGCATTTAATACTTGACTGCGTCTCTTGTGTAGATTACCGCGCTCGGATCTGCCGGAGGAGGTATCGGTCTCTGCTGGCGGAGATAAGGCGGCAGCGGCAGGCCCCCCGGCTGAACTTTTGTATGTAAATGACCTGTTATGATTCAGTAACCCCTTCATAGTGGCGTAGTTCGCATTATTGTTTGTAATCAGGACGAATCAAGTCACAGAGTACTGAATTTGTGTATAAACATACATTATTTATATAAGCCTCCCATATTTATTTAATAATGCATTTTTTATCAGAAGCACAGTAAAAACAGTAATATTGTGGAATATTTTTACAATAAAAAAAAAATACTTCAGAAATTAAAATGTACATTTCAGTTTCACAAAATTAAAAAAGTTAAATAAAAGTAAATATAAATTTAATTAAAATGTAGTAGTAATAATAATAATATAATAAATATACATAAATTAACTATCTTATAATTTATTAAATTATTGTAAAAGTGCGTGTGTATTAAATAAAAATATTACATATATTTAGATTTTATGTAAGTTATTATTTATTTTTTATATTATGTATACATGTATTTATTATTTGTATTTTAATTTTAATTTGATTTTTATCATATTTTATCATTATTTATTAAGTTTTATATGCATTGCATAATACATTACATCTTTAAATATTTAATACATTTATTAAATAAATAATGGAACATTTAAATATCTATTAAATACACAAATTTAAAATAACTGTTTTCTATTGTAATATATTTTAAAATGTCATTTATTCCTAGGATCAAATATGAGTTTTCAGGTTGTGCTGCTTCCTATTTTGGTGGAAACCATGATACATTTTTTCCAGATTTTTTTAATGAATATAAAGTTCAAAATAACAGCATTTATTTAAAATGGAAATCTTCTGTAACATTATAAATGTCCCTTTAATGTGTCCCTGAGGAATAAAAGAAGAAATTGTATTTTAAATTAAATTTTTTTAAAAGATGCACAACTGATTTCAACATTGATAATAATCAGAAATGTTTCTCAAGCAGCAAATCAGCATATTAGAATGATTTCTGAAGATCATGTGACACTGAAGACTGGAGTAATGATGCTGAAAATACAGCTGCGCATCACAGCAATAAATTACATTTTACAATATATTCACATAGAGAACAGTCCTAATAAATGGTAAAAATATTTCAGTATTTTTCTGTTTTTACTGTATTTTTGGTCAAGTAAATGCAGCCTTGGTGAGCAGGAGTGATTTGAAAACAATTCATAATTTTTCTAAATCTTTTGACTTTTGACTTGTATTTTCACATTTGTCTCTGTATGATTCAATGCCTCAGAATGAAAATAATTCAGGCTTAAAGGGTTAGTTCACCCAAAAATGAAAATTAGCCCATAAATTACTCCCCCTCAAGTCATCCTAGGTGTATATGACTTTCTTCTTTCAGACGAATCCAGACGGAGTTATATAAAAAATTGTCTTTGATCTTTCAAGCTGTTTAACGGCTGTCAGTGGGTGTTGCATGCATCAGTCCAAAATAAGTTATATAAAAAGCACCCATCCTTAATAAAAAAGTGTCTCACACGGCTTCGGGGGGTGAACAAAGGCCTTCTGTAGCGAATCGATGCGTTTTTGTAAGAAAAATAACCATATTTAAAATGTAATAATCACTTTAATGTAGCTTGCGCTCACTGTTGTAAATGGAAGCAGTTCCGGGGGAATGACGTATGAGGTCAGCTTTGCGCATGCGCCGGTCAGACGTGACGAACGCAGAAGCGCAGCGGAGAGATCAAAACACCAGTCACTAATTAGAAGTACAAATTGAGGATTTGTAAAGAAGAATGTCGGAGGATTTCGATATAAGCCAAGAGGAGACTGGTTTTCCTTTGCTAAAGTAAGGAAACTTTGTTCCTGTAAACAAACGTTGGTTTTCACGAGACTCACCGGCGCATGCGCAGCGCTGAACTCATACGTCATCCGCGTCGTCCGGCATTAAAGTGATTATTACGTTTTGAATATGGATATTTTCTTACAAAAACGCATCGATTCACTACAGAAGTCCTTTGTTCACCCCCCGGAGCCGTGTGAGACACTTTTGTTTTATGGATGGGCGCTTTTTATTTAACTTCTTTTGGACTCAAGCATGCAACACTCACTGAGTGCCATAAAACAGCTTGAAATTTTTTCAGACTGAATTCGTCTGAAAGAAGAAAGTCATATACACCTAGGATGACTTGAGGGTGAGTGATTTATGGGCTAATTTTCATTTTTGGGTGAACTAACCCTTTAACTGACAGGTTTGCTGAGGGTTACAAAAATCATCTCTATCAGAATTAACTCTGGGTCAGTGAGTTTAAGAATTACCTCTGTAAAATGTATTTGTAAACTAATACATTTAAATGTTTGCATACATAAGCAGCTCTATATGTCAGCGGCAGGCCCGGGAGAGAGAGGAGCGTGGTGAGGAGGAGGAGGAGGAGGAGAGGAGGAGACAGAAGCTGGAGGACGAGAGGAAGAGGCGTCTGGAGCTGGAGCAGGAGAACCTGCGTAAGAGCTGTCCTCTGTGTTCACAGCAGCGTCAGTGCTGATGGCAGTGGCGTGTGTTAAACTCGTGTGTGTGTGTGTGTGTTTACAGGACCTGCGTCTCCACCGGTGCCCCTGCCGAGGCAGAAGACGCCAGAGCCCAGGCCGCGCTCAGTGCTGAGCACCGTCCCGAAAGCAGTGCATCTGGTGCCTGTACCGCGGCCCCGCAGCAAGCTGTTTGAGGTGTGACATCAGTGACTTACTGTATCCAGTGAAATATTACACCTGGGTTTATCAGATTACCGATTGTTGGTACATTTGACCAGATTTGGTTTTTAAAAAGCCTTTTTACAAAAGGTACATCTGGAAAAAGGGGGGTCGTCTTATAATCAGGCTCGTCTTATATTCGGGCCAATAAGGTAATAATAATAAGTACATTCATACAAATAAATAATTATAAGTATTATTATATTGAAAAATATTATATTATTATTAATAATAATGTTATAATATTTTATTCATACGAAATATTTTTTGTTTACTATTTATTATTATTATTAGCGTTAGAAATGGTAAATAGTCACATTTATATTATTAATAATAATGTTATAATATTTTATTCATACGAAATATTTTTTGTTTACTATTTATTATTATTATTAGCGTTAGAAATGGTAAATAGTCACATTTATATTATTAATAATAAATTATTACGTTCATATAAACAATATATAAAATATATGATGATAATATATTGAAATAAATTGTTATTATTATTAATAATCATTTTAGCATATTTAATTCATACAAAATGTTTTTTATAAGTTTACTATTTATTATCAGTTTTATTATAAATTGTCATATTAATAATAGATACACATTATTAATAAAAAAATACTTTTATACAAATAATGCATATAATAATAATACATAATACTATTATTATTGGTTTAATTATTGGTTTGGTTTGGTTTTATTTTAATACTATACTATGCAGAAAATAATATGGCCAATTCTAATTATTTGTTGTTTTTGTGTTTGTTTTATAATTTATTTAATTAAAATAAAACCAAAATTGACCATTTACTTTCTTAAAATGTGTTTCTCGCATGTAAATCTGTGCGTGACCTGTAATAGGCCACATTACAAAAGTGAAATGAATTGGGAATGACATTTAGTTTTGACTTTAAGCAGTATTGTTTATTGTTGTTGTATACTATTATTTATTATATATAGTTTTTTAAATATTTTCAATCAGTTTTCATTATTAGATTTTCCATATTAATTTGAACGTTTTAATAATTTGCTTGCGTTTTCATCATTTTTGTTAATTTCTGTTTTTTTTTATTATTTTTTTTAGATGTCCATATAGTTTTTATTAATTTCATTTCAGTTCATTTTAGTTCTTGTAGTACTTCAAATTAAACTAAACACAAATGTTGCCTTGGTAACTAGCTGAAATAAAATATTTCTATGCATTTTAATTCGGTTAACGTTTATTTTATTTCATTGTTTTATGGTTTGTTTTGTTATGGTTTTAGTTCACAGTAATAACCCTGACTTTTAAGTCTCATACTGGTTTTCATTTTATTTTGTGGTCAGGCGACTCCGTTTGATAACGAGCTGAATGAGAACGTTCACCTGGATGCTTCTCTGATGCTTCAGCCGATCGATGAAGAGCGAATGAAAGAGAAACACCTGAAGAAGACCAACACCATCCGCTGGTTCAGAGAGACGCAGGTGCGTAAGCTGACCAGAGACGGCGGCTTCCCCAGCTGGTTCCACGGCATGATCACGCGCAGGTCAGCTTCAGCACCCACGCAAACTCATATCAGCATCCAGGGATTAAAGTGTTCTGTCGCTACGACGGCTTTCCGTCAGTTCATAAAGACAGTAGGTGCGTCCCAAATCGCGTACTTATGCACTATTCTATGACGTTTTGTAGTATAAATTGTGCAAGTAGTGCGTTCACACTGAAAATTCCAAAAAGAAAAAGTGCACTTTAAATACCCGGATGATGCACTTAAATACCCGAAAAAATGAAGTGTGGAATGTTGGACACATGCACTCAACTGTCACAGCTTTAATTACGTAGCGAAGGGGGAGGGGCTATCAGAATCAGATTATGAGTGACAACCTTATGTAATTCATACTCTACACAGCTGAGTACATAGTGCATAAGTACACAGTGTATAAGTGCAAGTGCATAATTTGGGACACAAGTTACAGTATGTTCTAGTCTGAATGCAATCCAGGCATACTCAGTTCAGTTGTGTCGCTTCACTCCTCTCTCATGGCTTCATGGGATAGTAAGTTTCAATTGGATGTGTACTTCAGAATCTCGCCAGAAGCAGTAGGTCATCCTTCTTCTGTTTTACTATATAGTAGGGAAGTATGCATATTTTGATGACTTTCCAAACAGATAGGCTCACCCCAAACTCATACCACTTGTTGTGCTAATGATGTTGTATCTATTAAATAAACATGTTTCGATTCCATTTGGTGCCATCAGTGTCTCAGACATTACGTTTTAATATTTATGTCACAGCTTTAATTACGTAGCGAAGGGGGAGGGGTTATCAGACTCCATTTATGAATGACAGAATAAACTTATATAATTCATACTCAGCATGGTTGAGTACATAGTGCATAAGTACTTAGTGTATAAGGCTGCGTTTACACTGCAAGTCTTAATGCACAGATCCAATCTTTTGACCATATCCGATTTTTTGGCACGTCTGTTTACATTCACTTTAGACACGACTGGTATCCGATATCTGTGTTTACATTAATTCCCACCCAAAAGGATTGTCTGCAGTGATCGCTTTACTATGCACATGGTAGACCCTCGGGTTTTAAATGGCCATGCTATTAAAATTATTTATATAATTCACGTCGAATGGCCGTTATTATTTGCCAGCATGGACAACGGCTGTCATGGATGTTTTGCAGCACAACATCTGACTGAACGGATAAAGACCAGAAAATAACGATAATTTTAATTTGTTAGACTATTTTATCTACAATTCTTTAGTGAAATAAATTTGATATTTATTGAAATGAATTAGAATTAAGGAGAGCGAGAGAGAGAACGAACGCATGCACCCACGTGCGAGCGAGCGATTGTGAAGCATTGCAAACAAATTTGTCGGTTTAATTACAAAAACTGCTAAGTTCTCACCTCATTGCTGAGAAATATATGTAGATTTTAGCTGTTGTATTTTACAAATTTACGGGGCGGGGGTTGAAAACCAGCTCCTGAATGTGCAATTTCTTACCTATAAAAAGTTTCCATCTCAGTAAATTTAGACGTAGGTCGGATGTCCAGATATCAGATGTGTATTTGATTAAAATCCACATTTGGAAGTGGCTCAGATAGGATGGAAAAAAATCGGATCTGGAGCGGGTTTTTGTGTTTACACGTGTGCAACAAATTCCGATCGGGAGTGGTGACTTTCCACGTATTCCCAACTTCTGAGCCTGCTCGCCTGAAGTTGTGGTTGATTGCTCTTTGGCTGGATATCAACACACCCATTAATGTAAACTTCGCCAGAGCGCGTACACTCCTCACGCACCGGAAGCTGTGTGCGCGCCCAAAGACAGTTGGACATGGTGGTGTATTAGAGGTAAAATATGATATAAATACTGTTCGGTTTTTCTGGCACAAACTGATCGTTTCGTGTCTTAGGACATCAATGTGTCATCACGAACAGCAGGGTTTAATTTGGATTTGTAATTTGCATGTTTTTTTTACTCTCATAGATTTTGTTACCATTGCCATGCATTATACGACTTATAGCAACGGTTAAAGTAAAAAATCATCAAATGTGTTCTACTGAAGAAACAAAGTCACCTACATCATGGATGCCCTGGGGGTAAGCAGATAAACATCAAATTTTCATTCTTGGGTGAACTATCCCTTTAAGTGCTCGCTTTACTATGCACATGGTAGACCCTCGGGTTTTAAATGGCCATGCTATTAAAATTATTTATATAATTCACGTCGAATGGCCGTTATTATTTGCCAGCATGGACAACGGCTGTCATGGATGTTTTGCAGCACAACATCTGACTGAACGGATAAAGACCAGAAAATAACGATAATTTTAATTTGTTAGACTATTTTATCTACAATTCTTTAGTGAAATAAATTTGATATTTATTGAAATGAATTAGAATTAAGGAGAGCGAGAGAGAGAACGAACGCATGCACCCACGTGCGAGCGAGCGATTGTGAAGCATTGCAAACAAATTTGTCGGTTTAATTACAAAAACTGCTAAGTTCTCACCTCATTGCTGAGAAATATATGTCGCTTTTAGCTGTTGTATTTTCAAAATTCATGGGGCAGGAGTTGAAAACCAGCTCCTGAATGTGCAATTTCTTACCTATAAAAAGTTTCCATCTCAATAAAATGCGAGCGCATACAGCACGCCGGCATTAAAACGCCATTAAAAATCTTTATGAGCAAACGTGTCGCCCTCGCATTGGGAGTTCTGTGGAGAATCGGATATGTGTGTTTAGACGTAGGTCGGATGTCCAGATATCAGATGTGTATCCGATTAAAATCCACATTTGGAAGTGGCTCAGATCGGATGCAAAAAATATCGTATCTCGTGCAGGTTTTTGCGTTTACACGTGTGCAACAAATTCCGATCTGTGTCAGATGTGAGTGAAAGATCGGATTTTTTGTGCCAGTGTAAACGCAGCCTAAGTGCGTCATTTGGTCTCTTTTACACTTGCTTCATTCCTGAATGATTCAGCCGTTCGAATTAATCAATTGAATGAATGATTCAGTGATTTAAATCAGGGACTTGCCGCCACCTGCTGGCGGATTTAGTTACATTTTTAGCCTATAATTTCAGTCAGGAGCTCTTGTCCTCCTAATTAAAAAATTTAGGAGCACCTTCTGATCAATAATCAAAAATCACCTAATACGAGCTGACATTTGACTCCTTAAAGTGACTTACAGGAGTATTTTCTTTTTAACTTGTAATGGCATCATTTTCATCTGTCAAATTCAAAAATTTATGTTTATAAGCTTTTTAAAATTTCTATTTAAAACACAAAAGACAAAGAAGTTACCAATCATATGAAATTAGTATTCATAAATTAATTTATACTACAGAGGTGGCACAAAAGAACACAAAAGGTACATTTTCAGACGTTTAATGAGGCTCAGAGGTGGCATGAGTGCAATTACATTCATAAATTAATGTGGAGATTCATGTTTTAAATATAAAATTTTGAATACAGAAATATTAAATGATTTAAATAACTGAAATTATAGTCTAAAAATGAAACTAAATCCGCCAGCAGGTGGCGGCAAGTCACTGATTTGATCACCGAGTCATTCATTCAATTGATTCGTTCGAACGGCTGAATCATTCAGGAATGAAGCAAGTGACTCTCTTTATGAACTGACGGAAATCCATCCCTGATCATCTGAACATACAGTATTTAAGATATGCTGACTGTAACCTTGCTTTCTCAGACAAGCAGAAGATCTCCTGATCGACAAACCTCTCGGCTGCTTCTTGGTGCGTGTGGGTCAGAGCCGGGAGGGTTACACGCTGACCTTCAGGTGCGTTCTGTGTCAAAATCAGCAGACTAGTCCACAGATAAAGGTGCTAAAACCACAACAAAAGCACCAGCAGTAGTGTGCTGCATATTTAAACTTGAAGTAGTCATTCACTAAACCAGACTTATAGTACATGAGTACATCAGTAGAAATCAGCTTATAAAAACCTGTTTATAAGGTTTATATGCATCTCGGCTAACCAGTGATGCAAGAGAAACTCCTTTACGTGACAATAAGAGAACGGTTTAACAGATTTGTACCAGTATCTTCATACATGACTATGTTAATCAGGTTTTGTTTTAAACCGTTATTTTGTCATTAAAAAAAGACCACGAATGTATAAGTTTGATTTTACATAAGCTTAAATGGTGGAAACGTAACATGTCAGCAACAAAATGTGATGCTTTTTTCCCAAAATTTTTTGTACTTATTACTATTATTATTATTACTACTAATTTATATAATTAATTTGCATTTTTACTAGTTACTATTATTAATGTTTTATTTATATTTAATTTTATTTATTATTAATGGTGTTATAAATAGTAACATTGTTTTTTATATCATACATATATATATTTTTTTTTTTTTTTTTTTTAAGAATAGAGTTAGAATAGAGAGTGCTAGAGTTAGTGGGTCAAATAAAGATGGAGGAGATGTGTTTTTAGTCGATTCTTGAAGATAGCTAAGCACTCAGCTGCTGGGATTGAGTTGAGCAGGTCATTCCGCCAGGAGGGAACATTTAATGAAAAAGTCTGTGAAAGTGATTTTGTGCCTCTTTGAGATGAACAATAATACACCGTTCACTTGCAGAACGCAAGCTTCTAGAGGCACACAACTCTGAAGTAATGAATTTAGGTAAAGGGGTGCAGAGCCAGTGGTGGTTTTGGAGGTTTTATAATAGTGATGATAATAATGATAATATAGTGTAAAAATATTTTAAATAGTATTATTTATACTATTATTATAATAAATACATAAGAATAAATATAAATCGTATATATTTATATTATTAATAATAATAATAATAATTGTCATTAATATTAATAAGAATAGTATTCATAATAATTTGCAAAAACTGCAATATTTTATTCATATTTAATTGTAATATTATTATTAATATTATTTTATTCATATAAAAATGAATGTTATTATTTAATGATGTGATAACGATAATATAATGTAAAAGTATTTCTATTAATACTAATAAATAACTATAAATAAATACACAATAAATTTAAATAAATAGTATACACTTGTTACAAATAATAATTATTAATTAATAATTTTACTAATAGTCATTAACAACAACAATAATAATATGCAAAAACTAATATCCAAATCATTAGTATTTTATTTTTTTATTATTATAATTTGTTTATTTATAAAAAAAAATTATGCTGTTGATGTTGAACTTATTTGTTTATTTATATATTAAAATTTTTCGCTTGGTATCATATTTATGATTTATGGTGTGTATCAGGGGTGCTGATCGCTGTCGTCACTATATGGTGGAGATGCAGAGCAATGGGAAGTATGTGATTCTCGGGGAGGATCGGGCTCATTCCTCTCTCACAGATCTGGTCCAGTATCACACTCAGGTGGGCATCAAGCCCTTCATGGAGCTGCTGACGCTGCCCTGTGGTCAGGTGAGTGTCCTGCGCTCAGTGTTACTTTGGAAATGTGATGGGTTACAGATGACAAGTTACCTTATCTAAAATGTAGTAAGTAGTGTAACTATTTCAATTACTTTATTAAAGCAATGTAACTGATTACATTTGAGTACTTTTCTAAATTTCTAATGCTAGCGCTCAACACTGATTCCTGTCAGGCTTTCAAAATCCTTCATCACTTGAATTAAGGTTATAATCATTTAATTTTAAAGCACGGCCACCACAAGACTTTAGCACTGCCTTTTACTTTGAGATCTTTCTGAGGTTAAATACAGATTTAATATCATAACAAGAAATAGTTTAATAGCTATGATACTGTTTTTGAAATAAAATCTTTGCACAGCTATGACAGAAGACACTGGCATCTAACAATGCCTTGGAAAAAAACTGTTAATCTTAAAAAATAAAGCATATGCATAAACAAATAAAACGGTTATCGGCTAAGCATGTCCTAAACTCCTGAAACATTAGTGTTTCATATTTTAGAGCAGTCACTGCAATTTATGAAAGAAATCACTCAAATCTGTATGTGTGTGAAAATATTCAAAGACAACCCCCTTTGTAATCTGTAATTTAATAACACATTTTTCTCAGTAACTAACTGATTACGGTTACATTTATTTTGTAATTAAATTACGTAACGCTGTAACATGTTACACTGCGCTCCATTCACAGCCAGTGTCAAGTGTTCAGTGTCAAGAGAGAGTAACGCTGGTTTGTGTGTGTGTGCAGATGTGTGATCAGGAGCCCGACTATGAGGAGCTCAAAGCGTTTATATCATCATCATCGGCGGCAGTGGAGCATCCCGCTGAGGATCAGGACATGGACACAGGTTCACATAAAGTGCATTTACAGATGCAGCGGCTCTTCCTGCCACCAGGAGGAAGCTCAAACCCAGAGTCCCACAAACCGCCGGTGCTCAAGCGCATCTCTGACCGCCGCAGACGAGTCGAAGCTGCTCAGATGGAGCACAAGGACGACGATCCGACCAGAGAGAGCAGACCGTTCCCGCGACTCTACCCCTCCATACGACTGGCCATGAGAGAAATCCAGCAGATCCAACAGGTACAAACACACAGAGGATACACCCCTTGTCCAAATACCCGCACTTACGGTCTTTGCACTTGACTACTTATATGACGGATTTCCTGTATTTGGTCCGAGTGTTCAAGTGAGGATGAAGACCACATGTGTGTGTCGAACTTTTCATTACCTGATGGGACACACTTGGTGTTATAAAAATGTCAATATTCTATTACAAAACCACCAAATATGGAATCCTGAGACTCAGACCTTTCCAATGATATGTTTTATGTCAAGATTATAAAAAGTTTTGATTGTAAAAGACCGCAATGCATTTTGTAATATGACACTTGACACCTCCCGCTAAGGGGGAGGAGACCACCAAAAGATTTTAAAGTACCATTTCCATGGTAATGCAATGTCCGATTTCAAAATGAATGGATTTCAACAGGATGAATCTTGGGCTTCTAAGATTTCAAACGATGTATAATTTATGACGATTACGAAAATATTTGATCGAGAAAAAGGACAACAAATTAAAAGAGTCCCAGTTAAGGGGTTAAATACTTTGCATTTTAAAATCAACTTCTAAATGTCTGTTCAGTAGTCTCTATAACATGGCACAATTTGATATGTGGTGCTTCTAATTAAGTGATGAAAAGCAGTTGCAAATGTTGTACAAAATAAATATCACCACCACTCATCTTTGCACCAATAAAATGTGCAACACTTTGTTTTTCAACCAAATTATATGTAATAATATCTAATTATTCTATTCATATTTAACTTGCATTGGGAAAGGTTTCCGTGACCTCGCGAGATCTCGGCAAAAATCTCACGTATTTGGACAAGGCAACGGATAGTGATGGGTGCGTTCGAAACACTGCTTCATGAAGCTTCGAAACCTTTACGAATCATTGATTCGGAGCGTGTTTCAAACGGTCAAAGTCACATGATTTCAGTAAAGGAGGCTTCGTTACATCATAACTGTTTCGAAACGTTTCAAAATTTTAACAGTTCATCACTGGGGGGGAGATCTCTCTGAAGCCTTTTTATTGACTTCTAATAAAAACAGAACATATGTGACCCTGGACCACAAAACCAGTCATAAGGGTCAATTCTATTATATTTGAACATCTGAAAGCTGAATAAATAAGCTTTCCATTGATGCATGGTTTGTTATGATAGCACAATATTTGGCCGAGATACAACTATTTGAAAATCGGGAATCTGAGGGTGCAAAAAAAAAATATTAAGAAAATCACCTTTAAAGTTGTCCAAATGAAGTTCTTAGCAGTGCATATTACTAATCAAAAATTAAGTTTTGATATATTTACGGTAGGAAATTTACAAAAGATCTTCATGGAACATGATCTTTACTTAATATCCTAATGATTTTTGGCATAAAAGAGAAATGTATAATTTTGACCCATACAATGTATTGTTGGCAACAAAAGAGCAATGATACGCAAGTGCTATAACAAGTCTCAGTTAGCTTAATATATATGACTGGTTTTGTGCTCCAGGGTCACATATAGGCTACAAGAGTATAACCATACATGTCAGGGTTATGCAGATGTATTCAGATATATAAATAAAGACAGAAAGGCATTACGTTTTTATTGTTTGATGTCGTTTCCAAATATATTTTAATATTGGTTCAGAATTTGGTATTTTTCATTCCATCGACTTCATTAATATAATAACAGGCATTATACTAATGAAATAAACTATAAGACGATTTTTACCATCACGAGTCGGGATTCGAACTCGTGACGCCCGAAATGTGTTAGCGCATTGCCCATGAGACTATCGACGCCAGCCTGACACCACGTAGGTTATAATTCGTCAACACTTGCTGTGAAGGTTGTTTCAGATCAACATGTGCAAGTGGAGACGGATGTCGGATTGTTTCAAAGCCTCGGCACATTTGCTTCAACTGTTTCAGTGATTCGTGAAGCCTCGCTCTGCCCATCACTAGATACAGAGCATATATACAGGCCAGGGTTAGTTGTCACACTTTTTACTCCAGTAAATATTTCTTAGGATGAGTGTAATTTTTATTTGTTTAATTTAGTTTGTATACACACAAATGCCAAAATAAATAATAATATAATAAATACATTTGAATTAATGAATATCACCTCCATGCCACGCCGAATTGAGGCAGTAATTAAAGCAAAAGGAGCCCCTACCAAGTATTGAGTACATGTACAGTAAATGAACATACTTTCCAGAAGGCCAACAATTCACTAAAAATGTTTTTTTTATTGGTCTTATGAAGTATTCTAATTTGTTGAGATAGTGAATTGGTGGGTTTTTGTGAAATGTGAGCCAAAATCATCCCAATTAAAAGAACCAAAGACTTAAACTACTTCAGTCTGTGTGCATAGAATTAATTTAATACACGAGTTTCACAATTTGAGTTGAGTTACTGAAATTAACTTTTCCACGACATTCTAATTTATTGAGATGCACCTGTGTATATATATTTGTACAATTAAACAAATACAATAAAATGGTTAATAACAATGATGCAATATAGATAGATAGATAGATAGATAGATAGATAGATAGATAGATAGATAGATAGATAGATAGATAGATAGATAGATAGATAGATAGATGCAGTACCCTCCATAAGTATTGGCAGTAATGACAAAATTGCTTTTTGTTTGCCGTGTAGTCAAGACATCTGCAAATAAGATTAAAAGATGAATATGAGACAGAACTACAGAATGTCACATTCTGTATTAGCTTTATTATTATTAGCAAATATATATATATAATTAAATAAATATATATATATATATATATATATATTTGCTAATAATAATAAAGCTAATACAGAATTATATATATATATTTGCTAATAATAATAAAGCTAATACAGAATGTGACTTCTGTAGTTTTGTCTATATACAGCGCCTTGCGAAAGTATTCAAACCCCTTTATTTTTTTTCGTTTTATGTTGCAGCCTTATGTTAAACTGCTTTAAATTACTTTTTTCCCACATCAATCTACACTCCATACGCCATGCTGACAAAGCAAATAACATATTTTTAACATCTTTGCAAATGTATTAAAGATAAAAAAACGTATATGATTCAATTGCATAAGTATTCATATTATCTGGGACAGTTGAAATTTAGCTCAAGAGCATTCCTTTTGCTTGTAAATTTTACCAAACTTTGAGTGAAGTTAACCTGTGCCAAATTCAATTGAATGGGTATGATTTGGAAAGGCGCACATGTCTATACACAAGGTATAACAGCTGAAAATGCATATCAGAGCGAAAACCAATCCCTGAGGTCAAAAGAACTGCCTCTAGAGCTCAGAGACAGGATTGCATCTAACCACAGATCTGGGGAAGAGTTCAGAAAAAATTCTGCTGCATTGAAGGTTCACAGAAGCAGGTAGCCTCCATTATCATGGAAGAAGTTTGAAACAACAAGGACTCTTCCTAGAGATGGCCTCCTGGACAAACTGAGCAACTGATGGAGAAGGGCTTTGGTTAGACTGGTGACCAAGAACCTGATGGTCACTCTAGTTGAACTCCATGATCATATGTGGAGATAGAAGAAACCTACAGAAGGACAAACATCACTGCAACACTCCACCGATCTGGGCTTCATGTCGGTGTGGCCAAACTCAATCTTCTCCTCAGTGAAGATTCATGAGAAAACACTTGGAATTTGCAAAAAAGCACCTAAAGGACCCTAAGACTGTGAGAAACAAGATTCTCTGGTCTGATGAACCTCAATTCTAAGCATCATGTTTGAAGGAAACCAGGCACTGCTCATCACCTGCAGAGTAGCATCCCAAAAGTAAAGTGTGCTGGTAGCAGCCTCATGCTGTGGGGCTATTTTTCAGTAGCAGGGACTGAAGGACTCGTCAGAGTAGAAGATAAGCTTAGTGCACCAAAATATTGAGTTAGCCTTAATGAAAACCCAGTCCAGAGCATTCAGAACCTCAGACTGGGCAGAAGGTTCACCTTCCAAGTTCCAACAGGACAATGACCCTAAGCACACAGCAAGAGAGGCTTATAGACAACTCTGTGATATATATATATATATATATATTATATATAGTATATATTTATATTAAAAATAATATTATACAAAAACTTTATGAAAAACACTGTTGTCATGAGAACCTGAGTGAACCCTCGGCTGTAGTTCAGTTTCTGTTTTGCTCCTGATAGTAAAGCTGCGGTTGTTCAAACATAGTCACACAATATTTCAGCGCTTTTGTGTAATAAACGGTTTTCCTGTCAGTAAAGATGCCAGAAAAGCCTCATCTCTGCGCTGCAGGCTAAATGCCACCTGGTCCGTGCGAACTGACGTTTTCATGTGTTTGTTCTTGTTCAGACAAAAGCACACTGAAGTGAACTGTATCTATTCACTAATCTGGAAATTTCCCCGGTGTTTCATGTAATTTCAAATCCCATGTTTTTTTCCAGCACTTCCAGCAGAGCCAAGATCAGATCCAAGTCTCCTCCGGCAAAGCCTTGAGCTCGTGGAAGAGGACGGGTGAGTTATCAATCAGATTTCTTACAGTGTCTTTCTTCCATAAACCCACACGTCTTGAGCACAGTATTCAACTTTATATCAGCTAAAAAAGCTCATTTTGACTTCATTATATGCCGATAAATTTCACAAAATTATCATAAGATTTGCAATATGTGACCCTGGAGCACAAAACCAGTCATAAGGGTCCATTTTTTTTTAAATTGAGATTTATACACCATCTAAAAGCTGAATAAATAAGCTTTCCATTGATGTATGGTTTGTTACAATATCTGGCCGAGATACAACTATTTGAAAATCTGGAATCTGAGGGTGCAAAATATTGAGAAAATCATCTTTAAAGTTGTCCAAATGAAGTTCTTAGCAATGCATATTACTAATCAAACATTAAGTTTTGATATATTTACGGTAGGAAATGTACAAAATATCTTCATGGAACATGATCTTTACTTAATATCCTAATGATTTTTGGTATAAAAGAGAAATGTATAATTGTGACCCATACAATGTATTGTTGGCTATTGCTACAAATATCCCCCAGCGACTTAACACTGCTTCTGTGCTCCAGGCTCACATATATCAAATCACGTACTGTTATGATCATTCTAGAGTTTGTTTTTCTCATTTTCTAGAGTTTCACAGCCCTAGATCTCATCATAAAAAAGAATAATGAATATAATAAGAATGGTGACTGATTTTACAGTTTGGAGTGAATTATTCCTGTAAACAAGTGTTTTTTTTCATCTAATGTGTTCATTTAGGAAGTAAATGTTTTATGTATTGTATATTTGTCTGTTTCAGATGCGTAACACTGTGGAGATTGAAGCTACAGATGTTTTGATGCTGCTATTTGTGATTTGATTTTATTCATTTTTTAGTTGTATGTAAATGTGACATTTTAATTTTGTGGTGAAAACTACAGAGTAATTTGACATTTTTAACTTAATTTTTATTGTTGGTTGTGATCTTCTGTATTTGTTATTTAATGTAAATGATGTTTTAGGTGATTGAATAAACGGTTTTGTTTGATACACTGCAGCTCTCTCGGAGTTTAAATGCCTGAGTGAATGACCGCTGAACTCTTGATGCAGATTGAATCGTGTGTGTGTGTGTGTGTGTGTGTGTGTGTGTGTGTGTGTCTCGCTGGAGCAGATGATCATGTGTGGCTCTGATAGGAGGAGTTTAACGGCTCGTATAAGAGTGTGTATCCGACTCTCAGATCCCACAGGATGCACAGCCCATCTCACTGATCTTCAGATGGAGCTCATAGTGTTTGGGATTTTACTCTCCGTCACCTTCAGCACCGTTCAAGGTAATAATGAGGATCACTGCAAATAATAACCACTCATGATTTTTGTGTATATATATATATATATATATATATGTATGAATGTGCTGTATATACATGCACTCAATAAAATTATACAATGTGTGTGTATCTAATCTATTATAAATATTTTATATTATTTACATGTACAGTACATATACGGTACTACATATACTGTTTGTGCTGTTATTTACACTACAGGAATTAATCAGGAATTAGATTTATTAAATTTATTTATTTTACACTACAGGAATTAATCTCTTGGTCTTTCTAACAAATACCTCAAAAACAGTTTTATATAATACTTATATATTTTTATAAGTTGTATATAATTTTTTAATTAATATATATATTATCTGTGTGTATGTATGTATACGTGAATGTATATATGTGTGTGTATATATATATATATATATATATATATGTGTATGTGTGTGTGTGTGTGTGTGTGTATATGTATTATATGTGTATATATAAGATCTGTGCAGAGGAGCGCGGTCATTCCTTCCTCTGCACTACTAGTTTTAACGCGAATAAACATGACTGAACATCTCATGCCTCATGTAATTGCTCAATCAGTGTTTCAACCGCGGAAAGACATCAACAATACAGCGTGGAAATAAAACACAGCTCGTTAGTTCACTAGAGAAATTAAGTCTAGAGAGGAGCATTTTGCGAAATATTACACCATATACTCATTATATTTTACTAAACATGTTAGTCTTAATTACTTAATGTGCAGTATGTTTAAATTAATCTGTTATGAAACATGCTATGACAGCCATTGTGTAATTGAATATATTTTAACAAATAACTTAGAAATTGTATTATTTATAAGTTAATTTAAAAACTGCATTATGTGCAATTTACATGTTTGCATAAATTTTTGAGTGTTGATCATCTATTTAAAAATAAATAGCAATTAAATTTAAGTTTGGGTTAAGTTGTTATGCCTAATTGTAACCTTATAATGTAAAAGGTCTCCCTATAGTTTTAAGCATAAGCTGATAAGATTATCACTAAGAAATTTTTAGCTATAACTGAATGTATTTAAAGAAAGAGCAACTTGTTCAGTAAACCATAAAAATGAAATTAAAAAAAGTTTAGTTTTCCCCCCTGCTGTACCGAAATCATACCGAACCATGACATTAAAACCGGGGTACGTACCGAACTCTCATATTTGTGTACCGTTACACCCCTAATAT